ATTAAATTCACTCTATAGGAGGCACAGTTTATATGGATAATATTTATTTTTTATGATAAGCAGCTGGAATGAACAAGCAAAAATGAAATAAAAGTAACAACTTTCTACTTCTTCCCTTTTTTTTTAAATGTAAGGAAAGTACAGATAATTGTGTGAAAATGTAAGAAGTAGAAGTAAAAAGTAGGCTGAAAAATAATTACTCAAAGTACAGATACCCCAAAATTCTATTTAAGGAAAGTAAAGAAATATTTGTGTTACTTTACAACTCTGAATATGACCAAATTTCCAGTTTGTTTTAGCTTTTCCCTCCCTTTGTCTGTGCTTAACTCTTTCAAGACTAACGTGCCTTTAGTCCACATAAATATATTTAGCTTTGTTTGCATTTTAAATAAGTTTAATGTCTCAATTTATATTTTAACCCAATGTTAGATAGTGAGAGAACAATCCAGTGTTTTTTATAGTTGTTGACACCTTATGGAAGATATAGTGATAGACCTTTTTTTAGACTTCTGAAAGACCTCATTTAATTCATTCATTTTTTATTTTATTTAACAGGAAAGATATTTGAGGTTTTTTTTAAAAAAATGTTTAGTAGTTTCATCACCCAGACAGTCAGCAGTCAAATCAAATATATCAACATTGAACAGGTTCACTTTACAGAAAAAATAAAGGGTCCTTAAAACAATTAAGCAATAAAAAATGACAACTTATTGTGTGAATTATAATAAATAAAATAAAATATCAATCACAACATTAGCATTCAGATGTTTATGAATTTTAAATGTTTCAAATTTGTCTAAACACTTTAAATATTTCCACATGGTGAAAAATTATTTAATGTTCTCTAAATTGCTCTTTCATGAAGTGAACCTGATGAAAACTGACACTATCATCTTAAATTGGGCCTGTTTAAATAAAATTGATCAGTTTTTCGCCTTCCAAAGATAATGGTTTTCCTGGTGTATTCAGCAGAATATAAAAAAATAGAGTTAATTATGTAGATGTCTCTCTCCATCTGTG